GTGCTATAGCCTGTTCACACTGGCTCTTAGGAGTGGATTGTGTGCATTTCTTCCCATGCTGATGACATCATGTCAGTGGCTCAAAATAAGCCTCAGTGGAAGTATTTATACCACATTAGTGTAATTGGAAAATGCTGTAAGTCAATGCTTTATTCCCCTTGAAGAGCCAGATAGTAAACATTTACCAGCACACCACTGAACTCAGCTAACTCTAAACCCTATGTGTGCATATGTGTGTGCGTCTGTCGTGTGTTTCAGAGGGTCAGGAAGAAAAGACCAAATCATTAATAAGCAGCTCAGCAAACGACTAAGAACTCAGCTCTGGAGCCACATGTCTGGGGCGGAATCTTGGCTCTGTCACTTACAACCTGTGTGATCTTGGGCAAGGCATTTACCCTCTCTGAGGCTCAGTTTCTTTCTCTGTACCGGGGAGGTAACAGCACCTACCTTATGGAGTTGTTGCAGGGTGCAGTGCTGGGCACACAATAAATGCTCAGAAAGTGTTCACTGCAACCTTCAGGGAAGAGGAGTGGGAGGTGGACAGGACTCTGCTGTTTACTTTATCCACATCTTACTATCTAAGATTTTTACAAGCACATATGTCTTTTTTGTCTTAAAAAAAAAAAAACTCAAAGTAAAGCCAACCAACCAAATAAAAAAATGATCAGGACTCAGCACAGCCTGGTGTCCCCCCTCCCCTTCCACCTCCTACTCACCATCAGTGAAGAGAGGCTCAGGCAGCTTTCGGAAGAAGGACTTGAGCAAGCTGCTGATCACGTTGAGGTCTTGCCAGCGCTGGAAGAGGGGGCAAACGTCAAGCCACAGGCAGGCATCCATGTTTCTATGCTTGGCCAACCCATAGTCCACTCAAGCCTAGCGCCAGCCCTCCCTAGGATCCATCACTCCAAGCTCCCTCGCCCCTCCCTGCCTGATGGGCTCTAACTCTTGCCCATCCACAGAAGGTATTGGTTGCCTTCTTCAGGTCAGGCATCCCGGGGCACAGAAGTGAGCAAGAGTCACCCCCAGACCTGCCTGCCCATTATACGTCCACTGGCCCTACAAGTCCCAGGTTCGGCTCCTGCCTCCTGGTGCCCCCATTCAGGAAAGGGTCATCCTCAGGTACCCTCTCTTTCCCCCCAGAGCCTATGCAGTGGTGACAGGGTCAATGCCTGACTCCTTCCTTGCACCTGCTGGCTCCTTTAACTAGAACTTTCCTCCCTACCCCTTCACACAGTCCCTCATCCCACATAAACCTCGCACTTCAGAGAGGCCTTCCCTCATGCCCTGTCATCTGCATCCCACTCTGATCTGACTTTGTTTCTTCCATGGAGCTGACCCCAATTTGTCATTATTTTATGCTTCTTTTTGCTCATTCATAGCTTTCTCCCCAAAGGACTATAAGCTCCACGAGGTACAAGGATCCTGTCCAACCACCCCTATGTTCCTCTCATCTAGCTGGGACAGTTAGCCTAGCACTTACATGGTCATAATTAGTAATTCTCAACAGAAAGTGATTTTTGCCTCCAGAGGACATTTGGCAATGTCTGGAGCCTTTTTTGGGGGGGGAGGGGGAGCCTTTTTGATTTTCATGACTGGGGTGTAGGGAGTTGCTGCCCACATCTAGTGAGTAGAGGCCACAGATGCTGCTTAATTTCCTCCAAATGCATAGGACAACTCCCCACGATGGATAATTATTCTGCTCAAAATGTCAAATGTGCCAAGGCTGAGAAACCTAGTCTCTACATAAATGGTTGTTGAACGCAAGAATGCATAAAGAAAAAAAAAAAAAAAAGAATGCATAAAGAACAACTAGGTCGTTGTCCTCTCTGTCCACCAGGGGGCACCATCACCCTGCACTGCAGTAAAGTCAGTTACCGCCCCCCCACCATTGCCTTTGCCAGAACAACTCAGAACACAAAACAACTCATGCCCAGAAAGAACGTAGCATCCTCAACAAAGAGACACAACAATGTACACACTCATTACAATGGGCCCATAGCTCAATGCCAGACAATCCCACAAACAATACATTCCCACAGGCTCAACAGGAGTTAGACCCCTACCACAACACTTCCAGCACTACCCAACAATAATGACACCACAATGTCCAGGACAAGAGAACACACCTGGCACACGCCCACCTGGGCCCTGGCTAAGGCCAAGCTGCTGTGCTTTGTCGTGTGCCCACCTCTACTCAGTGCAACTCATCTCCCAGGTGCCAGCCCAGGACAGTGGCCTAATCTCAGCACCTCCGGAGTGACATGCTTGGGCTTCTACTCCTGTCCCAATCAGAGCCTGGCCCCTTTATCTGCTGCCCACCCTTGGCCATCCCTCCCTCAAGCCCCGAAAAGACCCCATGCCCCTGGTCTTAGTGACTGTGTATGGCCATGAAGGTGACTTCCACACCCTAAACCCAGCAAGGCCACTCTTTGACTCATGCCTTCCCTCCCAACCCTCCTCAAGCTGCCTACTTCTCATTTTCTGACAGCCACAGCTCAACTTTTGGCTGTTCCCTGCCCTCTTTCCTCCCTCTCATGCAGCCAAGTCCTAAGCTGCTCCCTCCCACCACCTTCCTGGACCACAGAGTCCTCCTGACCCTTAGTGTGTCCCACAGACCAGTGACTTCTCTGCCAGGCCTTCCCCTCCCCATTTGTGCCCACTGGGCTTAAGTTGGAGCATCACTCTTTCTCCTTTCTGCCTCCCCAGCTTAAAAATCCTCAAATGTACTGTCCATTGGGTCAAGGTCAAAGTCTTCATTGAAGCCTTCTGTCCCCCAGGTCTTACTCTCCCCACCAAGCCCAGGATGTGGGTCCATTCTCTGTTCCCCCTGGGGATTCTGGAAATATGGGATTTTCTCAGGGATTCTGGAATATGCCATCATCACTTCCAAATTGCCTCCCTGTCCATCTGCCTCCTCCCATTCATCCTGCAAAGACTCAAACCCTGGAGCCAACTCCCTGCTCTGGCCCTCAGCATCTTCTCCTTCATTGCACAATTTGGTCCTTGATGAGAACCTGTCCTTTTCTCCTGTCCATGACTTCACACATACTTGAGTTGCCTCCCCATTTCCCAAGGGCAGGAAGATGCTTAATACATGCATGACATGAGGCTTCACAAAATGTGACTTCTAAGACTTCACTGCCCAGATACATGGCTTCCAAAAAAATCATCAGGGCCCCTTTGGGCAAATAAATTTGTACACTAAAACCCAACATGGCAGATGGAGCAAAGTGAGGTTGCTCTAGTTTAAGCAAGGATGGAAGTCCTGACCTGCCCTTGGCTTCCCACGTCCGCTCTGGGAACCCTAGGACTAGGGAACACTGTTTGAGAACCACCGGTCCTGCTAAAACTCTGATGTGTAGCCACAGATGGTTCCACAAGCTGGGCTCATCTCATCTGATCAGCTACTTCTCTTCCCATGTTGCAGCCACCCAAATCACTCGCTATTCTAGAAAGCATCTAGAAAGCATTATTAATCCAAGGGTCTCCAAACTGCAGTCCATAGGCAAAATCCAGCCCCCGGCCTGCTTTTGTATGGCCCTTGAGCTAAGTATTGTTTTCACACTGTTAAAGGGTTATGAAAAAGAGGAGGAGGAGGAAGAGCAGGAAGAGAAGAGAATGCAACAGAACAAACCAAAGCCCAACATATTTATGATCTGGCCTTTCACAGAGAAAGTTTGTTGGTTTCTGGCAAACTTTCAAAGTCTACGCAGTGGCCCAGACCACTTCTCTGCCTGGAATGCCCTTACCTGGCTTTCAGTGAACTCTACTCATCCTAAAGGCTCAGACAACACTGCTGCTGGGAGCCACTGCCTCAGAGCTCCCACAGGCATTTGTCTGCTTGGGTTGATGCCCATGCTGGGGGCTGGCCTGCAAGGGCAGGTCCCATCTTGCCCACTGGGCACATCATGGGGCACAATAAATACAACACAATGGACCACAGAAATCTCCCAGCAGAGCCCCACACACCACCTCATCCCCCTTACACAGACCCTCAGCTGCACCCACCTCATCCTGCAAATTGATGTCACCAGGCCCGCGGTTGAGCTGCTCCTGCAGGCTGGACACTACTGCATTGTTGCCAGGAACTCTGTAAATGCCTGTGGACTCCAGCCCCCGTGCCTCCACGATGCGACAGCAGGCAGCCACAATCAGGGGGACGCGCTGGGGACACAGGCAGGGTGGGGATGTTAGGGTGGATGGGGGCCAGAGGAGGTGGGGAGGCCAAAATGGGGACAGTGCAAAACCCAGAGCTGCTGCCAGGAACCCTGCAGGGGAACAAAAGGCCTTGTTGCCTTCAGTCTAGGGGCCACAAACAGCACCAAAGCCTTGTTGTGGCTGAGAAGGAGCAAAGCTGGGCCTCAGCTCTGCTGCTCTCTCCCTGGAAGACCTGGGACAGGGGGAGAGGACCTCTCCTCTCTTAACTGTTTCCCCAGCTGTGTTTGCACAATGAGGTGGAGAGCTGGTTCCATGTCTCTTGCTGCTCTGACCTCCACCTCCCCCCACCCTGACTGCTCTAGAGATGGTAGACACACACCTGGTTCTCTGTGGCTGGCTGGCACTCCTCAAGCCGGACCCCAAATGCTCTTGGAGCTGCTTTCTTGTTCTTCTTGATAATGTTGATGCTCCAGGGGGTTTTGGGGGCAGCAGCACTGTCATCTGGGGGAGACAAAGCCAGGGTGACCTTGGCACCCAGGAGGTTCACACACACTCATTGCCACATTCACGCATTTGGACAAATGGAGACTCCATTAAGGAAGCAACCAGGATGGTGAGGGAGGATGGAAAATTATACCATAAGAGAGCAGACCAAAGGGACAAAGGCATTTACCCCAGAGGGGAGAGGCTTGGGGTCATGTAGGGACTTCTGTGTGGCCTCAAAGTAGAACCACAAGGTAGAAGCCATAGATTCTGACACAACCAAAGCTTTCTAAGAGCCAAAAATGTGTTAGATAAAAAAGGTTTCCCCAGAGAGGTGAGCCTCTGCCCCTGCAGAGATGTAAAGACTGGCAGACCACCCAGCAGGCAGAAGGACCAGGCTCCAGGCCCTGACCTTCTAGCCCTGACCCTCAGAGCCTCTTGTTCCTCACAGGCACATAGTTGTGGGCAGACAACTGGGTAACCCTGGCACATATTCACAGACACACGCAGGCAGACACACAGCCCCACACACAAGCCCCTGACCATGCAGATGCACACGCCACCCCGTCTCAGTAACCACCTTCCTACCCTTGCTCCCTGCGGGCTGGTCCTGAGTCCTGAAGCCCCGGACTGCACTCTGCTTGAGGAATTCAGACTTGAGGCCCCCCAGGCCACGAGAGCCTTTTGGGGAGGAATCAGCTTTGGGCCCAGAGCTATGGCTGTGTGGGAAATGGGAGAGTAAGGGTCTTCATTTGGGGTGGCCCAGCATGCCATCCATCCTGGCCTCCCGCCACTTAGGACCCTCCCAGCCTGAGACAATTCCTCTATGCCTATCTTAGGGTCAGAGACCCTGGATGTCCCTGCCCCCAGCAGAGGTGGACCAGGAGGATGACCTCTGCCTAGAATGCCTGCCACCCCCAAGGTTGGGACTGCTCTATGAGGGCTGGGTCTTACCTCACTTTGCGGTAATCATTAAGCTTCTTGCTGATCAGAGCTTGGTTGGCACAGCCGGGGTCCTACAGCAGGCAAGAGGAGAGAGCAGCCCAGGTCAGTGCCCACGGCCAGCCAGCCCCAGGCTCATTCCTGGCCCTGCCCCACTCCCCCTCTCCCCACTGGCCAGGTGGAGATCACAGACCCTGGAGTAAGAAAGACCAGGGCTGCACTCTTGGGTACCCCTTAACCAGCTGTGTGACCTTGGGTAAGCCACTTAGCGTCTCTGAGCCTCAATTTCCTCAGCAGTAAACATGGGGAGCTAATAAGACACCTCAGGATTGGGGTGCAGAATTATGTACAAAGCACTCATCACAGTCCTGGTAGGCCCAGAGGAGGTGCCCCATGAGGGACAGCTACCAGCACAACAAAGAAGACTCAGGATTCACTGACCCATGCCTTTTTGAGGAAAGCCCTGCCAGGCCCCCAGAGCAGGGGGCCCAGATTCCAGGTACTCTCTTCCTTGCAGTGAGGACAGATATGTCCTTGGGAGGTCAGAGCCTGGTCTGTGAGAGGATGAGTCCTCAGCAAGAGGGTCTGTGGCCCAGGGCTGTGCGCTAACATCCCTCTCCAATGGCCAGAGCAGGCACCCACCTGGATCAGGCCCAGGCCCACTGCCCTCTTGGTAGAGACCATCCCAGAGCCCCCACATAACTTCAAGCAGGTGTGTAAAGGCATCTTTGCACAGTAAGTTCCTGGGTGAGGTGAGGGGAACTTAGAGTGCAGCTATGGATGCCCAGAAGGGGGCGCCATTTTAAAAATATTTTCCAAATCTCTGCCAAAGACCCCTGCTCAACCTCTGCCCACCTGCTGCCAAAGGCCATGGATAAACAGTGTGATTGTCCCCCTGCAGACAGGCTAGCCCTAGCTGTAATATACCCCAGGAGAGACTCCAACTCCCTTACCTCCCGCAACAAGCTGGGATTGGCCTGCAGCTGACCTCTCTGCCCAAGACAGTCCTAACAATAATAACAATCACTACCATCACTACGGTTATTATTGTTACTGTCAGACACTGAACACCAAAGAGGCCAGGTACTCTGACCCACTTTCTGTGCATTTTTCCTCACACCAAAACCTGGGTGGATGCAGTTGCAAGGTATGCTCTTGCCCACCCCATTTTCTAGAAGAGGGAATGGAGGCTCAGAACAGCCATTCAAGGTCCACAGCAGGTGGGGGGCGCCCTGCCCTGTCCTGCCCTGCCCCTGGCCGGCTGGGCTAGGCCGGCCCTCACCTCGCCCTCGGCCCTGCTGTTTTCTCGGATCGCTCTGATCCAGCCCAGCATGTCATCCCGGTCCTCAGCCTGAAAGAGATATTCACAGAAGTCAGCGGTGGTCAGCCGGAACACGTGCCTCCTCTTGGTCTCGCTGTAGGAGATGTCCACCAGGCAGGAGCCGATGCAGACGGGCGCCGCCTCGTCCTCACCTGCGCCGGCCGCCGCAGCCCCCGCCGCCGGCCCGGGCTCCCGCCGCTCCTTGCTCAGCGAGAGCGAGCGCGCCCGCAGCGCGGCGTACACCCGCTTCCACTGGCGCAGGCCGCTGCCCGCTTTCTGCAGGGAGACACGGGGTGGGGAAAGACGGGGGCGGTGAGAGAGCAGGCCTGCCACCACCCCCGGAGCAGCAGACAGTGAACAGCACAGGGACAGACCCATCAGAAGCCCCCCACTCCACCTGGCCGAACCCAGGGTGGCCTCCTGCCCCACTGTCCACCAACTCTCTCTATGCGCCTCACCTACCTGGGCACCCCAAACCACCACTCTCAATCCCCGCAGAAGATCCCAACCATCTCCCACTCTGAAGACCAGCATCAGCACCCACTAGGTATGGCAACACCCTAGAGGTCCAGCAGATGCCCCCACCCAGCATGACCTGCCATACGTAAAATCCTCCTAAAGTCACCCCAGTCCACACCCCCTCTACACACCATCCCCCAGAGAAGCTGGTTGGGGTGTTCTTCTGTTGTTCTCCTACTTCTCTGCCTCTCCCCAGGAGTGCACTCAGCGTCCCTGCTCTCAAGGGCACCCAGGAGCACCAGGTTGCTAAAGCCAGTGGCTCCTTCTCTGCCCTCATTGTAAGCCTCTCTGCAGCATCTGAGACAGCAGGCCCCTCCTCCTGCTCTCCAAACTCTGTCCAGGCATTTGGCCCCACACCCCTAGGCTTTCTCCCTACTTCCACCAGCTCCCTCTTAGTCTCTTCTACTGCCCACCCCATCCACTGTGCCTATAGTTCACAACCAGGGGAACAACCCCCAAGGGTCACTTGTCTGGAGACATGGCAGGTAAGCAGGGAAAGGCTGGGATGCTGCCAACATTCTACAATGCACAGGATAGCCCCCTGAAAAGAATTATCTGGCCCCAAATATCAAACAAGTTGATATTTGCCTGCCTAAAGGAACCCAGAACTTTGTCCTGGCTTCTCCTCTCCTGCGTGTCTCCCTCAGGGATGCCATCCATGCCTGTGGCTTTAACCCAGTCCATCTGCTGATGACGATTCCCAGATGTTCACCACTGGCCACCATCTCCCCCAGCCACAGCCTGCCCATGTCTCTTCCTACATGCCCCGTAGGCACATCACATGTTCCTTGCTCACTTAAGGCCACGCCATTTCTCACCATCAAACCTGTTCTCCACCCCAACCCCCATCTTTCCCAGCTCAGTCAATCCACCCAGTTGCCCAGAAACCTGGGAGTTGCCCTTGACTCCTCCTTTTTCCTTGCCTTTGAAGAAAGCAGAAATCATAACTTTTCTGCTTCCAAAATGTCACCTGTCTCCATCTTCCCTGTGACCACTTCGTCCCCGCCATCACCACCTCTTGCCTGGATAAGGCACAGACCCCAGCCTCCACTCTCACCTCCCACAACCATTCCCTAGCCAGCGCTGTGGTGGTCATTTCTGAATGAAAAGGAGATTGTGTTTCTATTGTCTCATGGGATTCCATAGCCCTTGGAATCAAATCTAAAGTCTTCTGTGGTCTGGTTCCTGTCTCTCTCCAAACTCCTCTTCTCCTTCCTTCTTTCTCACTCTGTCAAGCCCTTCTTTCCTCAGGGCCTTTGCACTTGCTGTCCCCAGCCTGCAGCTCCCTCTCCTACTTCTTTATGTGGCTGCCTCCCCTTGAGATCTGAGCTCCAACATCACCAAGGTCACCTTCTCAATGAAGCCTTCTCTGACCATTTTTTTCCCTAAAGGCAACCCTTCCTTCCTTCCAACTTGAAGGCCGGTATTTAGCCCATTCATCTCCTGAGGTTATTTACTGCAACCTCCTGTCCTAGAGCCAGGGCACTTGTCTGTCCTCTCACTTGCAAGCCAAGTGTTCACTGATATTTACTGGATTGGTCCTTCAAGCACTCTGAGGGTGGGGACCCTATCTCCTGTCAGACTCAGGGTTCCTCTCCACTGGCTGGGGCCCACCTGCTGCTCCACACCGAGCACAGGCCTCTGCCCTCAGTGCACACAGGATGAGAAGGCCTCCTGGCTGGCAGGTGAGCACAGCCCAAGTCTGGCCTCCCATTGAGTGGGCCTGGTGCTGTAGGCCCTGCTCCTCACAGGACTGCTGGGCCTGGACAGGAACATTCTGAGCACGAGCCAAAAGGCAGAATTACAGTGTCAGAATGAGGTGGGGACAAGGGCATCCCTCTGAGACTAAACCAACTGGATGACCTACAGTCATCCAGTCAAGGTCCCCTGGCATCAGTGTCCCCAGCTGGTAAAAGAGAGTGAATGAGCTAGGAGCCAGGATCACATCCAGCTCCAGTGCTGGGTCTGTGGCTTTGGGGACAAGTCACACTCCTCCTCTCCCTCCTCTGCCTGGCAGTCAGTGGTCTCTGAAAGAAGCTAGTAGCTAGGAGGGAGCACACAAGGGTTTGTATTGCAGGGCAGATGACACTTGGCTGAGAAACGGGACATTGGACAGGTCAAGGGCCTGAGGCTGATTTGAGGATCCTCCTCTAACTCTCAGGTCACCAAGTGGGTGCGTGGCACTGAGTATTGGCCAGCAAAGGAGGGAAAGCCCTGGCCTCCAAACCTAGCCAATGAACAGGAAGGGGCCAACTCTTGTCCCTGCCCAGGAAACTGAGGCCAGGCTGCCAGGGGCCCTGGGAACTAGAGGCCGGGCTCCCCAGCAGGGCAAGTCAGTGCCTCCCCCCCCCAACCAGGGAACCCCCCGATGTCACTGCCATCTCACTAGCTCTCTTTTTGGTCCTTTGCCAGCCTCACCTCCCTGGTGCCCCACTTATTCTCAAGGCTCAGGGGGGCTCTTGCCTTCTCCCTTCATGCTCCTGTGCCCAAGGCGAAAGGTGCCCAATACATGCTGATGGACAAAGGCCCTGCCCAGGCAGACCTCCTCCCCATCGGCCATACCCTCAGAGCCTCTGTCCCCAAGACACCTCCACTGGGCTCGGTCCCATGGCCCCAAGGGAATTGACTGGCCTCTCCTCAGACCTCTTCTTCCAGGGCCCCATAGTCCAGGGGAGGGTCCCACCACCCACCGCCTGCCTGCAGGGTTCCAAGCCAGGAACGTAGGAACCAGGCCACCGCCTCCCCCAGCCCTCCCAGCCATCAGCAAATCCTTCCCCTTGATTCTCTCCCTCCAGTCCCCTCCACCTGGCCCCATGCCTTGACCCTGGTCAGGGACCCCCTATCTCCTGCCTCACACACCTGAACAATAGCAATGACATTGCCTCTAATTGTCACAGATGCAACACTTGACTCCTGGCATCACACATATCCCCTCCTCCTCTCCCTGGACAGGATCTCCCTGGGTTCTGAGACCCCACAGCCACAGCAAGTACCCAACTCCCCACCTGGCCTCTGACCTCTCACCCAGGTACTTCTGTCACCCTGGTTCCCAGCCACCCAGCAAGACCTCCCCACCCTGCCCAACCACACCCTCCAGGAGGACATCTGCTCACTCCTCCCCCACTGTTCCCCTCCCTCTCAGAGCCTCCAGGTTCTGTGAGAAATGTCTCAGCCTCTGGACACCTCCCCTGCTGCACATCCATCCCATTCCTGAGCTCCCCACCACATCAGTTTGTGCACATGGAACCATCACGCCACATGTACTTTAGCTGCTTGTCAGGAGCCCCAGGAGGGCAGGCACAGCATGACCCCTCACCACTAAACCCCTGGGACCTCAAAAGAGGCAGGAGTCCCCTCTGAGTGGAGGAAGACCCCTGAGCAGAAGAGCCCCCCCACCGAGGAGAGGAGGCCTTAGTAATTATTGGCCTCCCAGACTATGCATCTTACTTCAATCACAATGGCCCTTAGAGTGACATAATGTTGTGCCCATCTTACAGATTAGAAAATCGAGGCACCCGAAGCCACATGTTTGATATGTGACTGGGCAGGAACTCAAAGTCTGCCTGCTTCAAAGCTTATGTTCCTTCCAGTTACCCCAAGACCCCAGAAGACAGGGTGAAAAATTCAAATAGCAGGTAAGTGGAAGAAGAGCAGCTTCAAGTACCCTGCACCAGGTAAACCCTTTACTTAGATAATCTCATTTAATCCTCAGTGATAGGCTTATGAGCTAGGGATTACTGAGAGCTCCATTTACAGACAAGGAGACTGAGTCATGGTGGGTGAGCTGTCCAAGCTCTGGAAATGTATGCAGTACAATCAGAAGTCATCCCCAGCTTCATACTGACCTGGCAGCTGGGAGGTACAGCAGCAGGGCTGCAGAGGACACCCCTCTCTCCTCCTAGCTCCTTGCATAGCCTGTGCCCAAATCCAGGGCTCACCCTTCTCCTCTTTAGGACTGCTTGGCTGCCCTCCCAATCCCTTCTCCATCCACCCCCTGCAGCCCACAGGTTCTAGCCCCTTTCATCTCTCACCTGACCTCTCTAGTGACTCCTAACCAGTCGTCTTACCTCCAGCTGGGCCCTTCTAATTCACTCCCAGGAAGCCAAAGGCACATTTTGGAGCTATAACCCCCTCACAGAAGAGTCTCAGGAGCCCTTAGGATATAGACTAAATCCTGTGCTAGCCCCACAAGGCCCTGAAAAGGCTGGTCCAGGCTTTCTCTTTGGGACTCAGCTCCCCTAGGAGAATCACTCAGGCCTTGCCCTTTGTTTCCATGAGCTCCTATAGCCATGTGCAGGGTGATCTGTCAACTAATGACTAGAGTGGGATGGCTTCATCAGAATTCCCAGTGTATCCCACAGCAAAGAACACCTCTCTTGTTAACTTCCTTTTCATAAGTTCTTTAAGTCTCCCCTAGGAAGTTCTTCCTAGCACCTAACCTCTATCCCTTGTGCTACCACCTGTGCTGGTTCTCTCCAGCTCCAGAGGCTGTAGGGGGTGGCTGTAGGAGAAGCTGAAGAGCTTTGCTGGGGACAGCTTCTGGCCACCCCCATCTCACTCCTCCACCCATCTTACCTTCCCCTTCTTGGTGAGGATCTGTTTATAATACAACCAGCCTTCTCTCCTGATATCACTGAAAGTTGCATCTGAGAGGTCAGAGGTTGAGTGTCGCTTAGAAGGGGCATCAGCATCTTCAGATGTACCCCAGCTATCCAAAGACTGCAGGGAAACAACATAGGACAATTTAGGGTGGATCCCACAGTACCAGCATCTCAGGAACCCCATGGACAACTTGCAGCCACACAAGCCTGGTGGATGTCTGTGCTATACCCTGACATGCTGTGTGACCTCACAGGCTCTGCTTGTCCTCTCTGATCTACTTGTGTTGAGGTCATGAGACGTATATATAATGGAGAAGCCAGAAGGAGGAAAGGCCATGACCTGCCAGCAGACCACATGCCTCACCATGCTAGAAAAGCCAATTTGCAATCTCCATTAACTTATAGACTTACAGGAATTAAGGAAGTGATTGTGTCAGCAAGGAATTAAATAAACAGGGGAAGTGGGAACATCAACAAAGAGCAAGCTGGGGAGGAGGTAGTCATGTCCACAAGGAGTTAAACAGAGGAAGTGACAGTGTCAACAGGACTCCAGCAACAGAGATGGCATGTCTAGGGAGAGTTAAGTAAGCAGAGGAAGTGATAAGGAATAGGCCAGGTGACAATATCATCAAGGTGTTAAACTAACCAGAGATATGGTGGGTTTGAAACCGAGATGGCTTTTCCAGTCCATCTGTAATCAAAAAGAGATGAGGCCACTGCAGACCTGATCCTGTCTCCCCAGGTTCTCAGCCTGGAAACTCCAGCCTTTCCAATCTCAGGCCTACATCCCCCACCTTTCAGTGTGGCCCCTGTCCCCAGGCCCCTGAAGATACCATGCAAATATTAACTGAGGGCCTGCCCAGTGCAGGCAGTGGGTACTTGGGATCCAGCAGCAAATGAAACAAATGACAGCCCTGCCCTCAGGATGCTTACGTTCTAGCTGAGGGCCAGGCAATGAAGAAGAGAAAAAGAAATTGCATGACATGAGACAAACACAGAGCAAGGAAGGGAGACGTGAAATGTCACAAGTGGAGGCTGAAACATCCTGACAACAGTGGAAAAGTGAATCATATGGTCATGGTGGGGAGACCTGGAATGGGGTATTCCAGATGGCGGGGAGGACAAGCGCAACAGCCTTGGTGGGAGGGTGGTGATGATGATGATGATAGAGACCACAGAAGAGGATGTGGCCAGTATGAGGGTGGGCAGGTGCTGAGAGGAAGGAGATGACAGGAGCCAGAGTAGCTCATTTTGGGTCCCGGAAGTCACGGGCCTGGAAGCCCAGCAGAGGCTATGACCCGCCCTCCCTGATGCTCTCCCTCAAACATGCACTGCCACTCACCCCATCGGTGAAGAAGCTCCGGAGCATCCGCAGGCTGGGCACTCGGTCTGGCAGGCGCCTGGGAGTGAGCAAGGGCTGGGGTGAGGGATGCGGGAAGCTCACGGGGACCTCACTCTCATCCCCCAGCACACCCCTAGACCCAGAGGCCATCCAGGGTCAAGGCACTGGGGCCTAGTCTAGGGAGCAGCTGCCCCTCCCCACATCCAGACAAGGCCTTACCGCAGAGCCCGACCCTCATCCCGGAAGGTGTTGAGCCCATCGTCGCAGGACTTGGAGCGCTCCGTGGTGATAGCCAGCAGGTAGGAGGAGCGGCGGCCAGCCTTGATGCTGCCTGCAGAACCACCCACATCAGGACTCAGGGTCAGCAGGGCAGCAGGTCAGGGCCTTCCCTGGAGCCCTCTCTTTTGGGCAGGGCCAGGGGTTGACTCTCCCCATGGGCCCCAGGAGGAGCAGAAGCCAGTTAGAAGCCAGACATCAGGCAGCACGTCCAGAAGGGACCCCTGGGGACCAAGAGGCAAGGGAGAGGATAGGGCTGGCATGGGACAGGGTTGGGGGACAGCACTCACTGCAGTCCTGAGAGTAGTGGCGGCCAAGGGCAAAGGTGAAGGTTGGGGAGGACGGGCTGGTGCCCAGGACGGGGGCTGAGTTCATGGCACTGGAGACCACAGCAGAGGCGGGGACGTGCTTGGCTTGGAGGTCAATGCTGGGGCTGGTGGGCTCATCTGCATGAGGGGAGGAGCCAGGTGTGAAGGTGGTAGAGAGGGAAACCTGCTGCCCCTCCCTAGCCAGGCCAGACCCACTGCGACTCACTTCCAGGCTCAGGCTACACCCCAAAGGGCAGCAAGTCCTCCAGAGTCCCATCGGCAACATGCCCACTGCCAAGTTTGACCGGCTCACCAGACTGTGATCATGGAATCTCTCCCCTCAGCAGGGGCTGAGCCTGCCCCATCACACCAAGGGCTCCCAGGAGTGGGGCTGAGCCACCTCCTTAGACCAGGCTCCTGGGGGCAGATCCCATACTCCCGCACCCCCATCAAACTGAGGGTGCTCTCAGAGAATGCACTGTGTCTCACCCTTCATACTGGCAGCCTCCTGAGGGTAGGACTGTATCTCTCCCATCACACTAAGGACTCTTTGAGAGAACGCACTGTGCCTCCACTGTCAGACCGAGGGTGCTCTGAGAGCATGGATTGTGCCCCCCCCACCATCAAACTGGAAGCCTCCTAAAGCCTGGGACTGTGTCTTCCCTAACACACTGGCAGCTTCTTGAGGGGAAGGACTGTCTCCCACCTCCTCTGGGGGCCCCGTGAGGGCAAAGACTGCATCAGTCCCTCAGACTGAGAGTACTCTGGATAAAGAGATTTTCTCTCCCCTGTCAGTCTAGGGGGAGGGTCACTAAAAGGGGCTGTCTCTCTCAGAAAACTGGCAGGGGGAGGCCTCCTCCGCCTCACCCCTAGACTGTCCTAGGCCAGCTCACCTTCAGGATCCAGCTCCTGTCTCAACCCCTGGCTCCTCAAGCCTGGTCTTCCTCCCTAGCACCAGACCCAACCCAGCCTGCCCCGTTCCCTCATGGGTGGCCCAGTATTCAACAAGCCCTAAATATTTTCCTGTTCCTCCTGCCCAGTGTGGGGGTGAAGCAGCCCTCCAGCCAGGTGAGGAAGCTGGAGATCACCCAGCCTCCCTCTATCAATATCCACTCTAAGGCAAACCTTTGAGAGCTCCCTCTGCTCTCAGGACAGAGGCTGCCCCCACGAGCGACCCATGAGACCTCTTGCATCCAGAAGGGTCCTCATGACCTGGCCATCACTCTGCCTCTCTCACATCAGGGTTTTTGAGTATCTCTCCTTGAACCTTCTCCCCGACTCCTTCTCATCCTTTAAGTCTTAGCCAAAATGTCCTTTCTCCAATATTTTCTCTGTGGCTGCCACGCCCTAGTCTGGGTTCCACAGCCCTCCTCTGTCCTTCTCAAGCTCCCTGCACTAACACACACCCATGCCACTGGCCTGCTGCTGTCTGACCACCCACCCCCTGCTGGACTGTCCACTGTAGGAGAGCATGGCGCCTAGCACAGGGCCTGACAACTATGTGCTGGGTGGGGTGGAGGGATGGAGGGTGAATGGAAGGGACAAAGAGCAAAAGCTACAAAGGGAGGATGGAAGAAAGGAAGAACAGAAAGATGGAAGGGATGATGAAAGGATGGAGTAATGGATGAATGAATGGAAAACAAAGAGAAAGTAGAGAGGTAGAAAGGAAGGGAAGGAAGGAAGAATGGACAGATAAATGGATAGATGGACAAACGAAGGAAGGCAGGAGAGAAAGAGGGAGCATAGAAAAAGTAGATGGAGAGATGGCTGGACAAGTAAGTGAAGGGGAGGTAGGATGGAAGAAAGCAGGACAAAGAACGGAATGATAGATGAATGGAAGAAAGGAACAGATGACTGGATCATCTGTTCATCCACCCATTCTTCCTTCCATTCATCCATCCTTCCATGACAGATGGAAAGAAACAAGATGATCCCATTAGCACACAGCCCAGAGTTTTTCCTGTGTAAACAGGTAGATGGGGTACATCAGAGGACAACTAGGTTTCCCAAGACAGCCACCTGCGTCATCACTCACCAATGAAGGGGATGGAAGCCAGAGAGTCTTCGGTGGTGGCCAAAGGGGCCACCTTCCTGCCCGGGCGTTCCCCTCGCCCACTGGCCTCTGGCTCTGGGGACTCATCACCAAGTCCAAGGTTCATCTGTCTTGCAGGGGTCAGCTGGATCTTGCGCCCCGTCGGAGGCTTCTGCCTCAGGACCACCTCATCACGGCGGTCCTCGGAGGGAGGCTCCAGGGCCCGGGTACTGGATTCTGGCCGGACAACCCTGGGTGGTTCAGCAGCCTCTGGTGGGAATGGTGCAGGGGATTGGGCCAAGTTGAAGGTGGGAAGCCCCCCAAACGGTGAGTCCCGGAAGGAGAGTGCGTGCAGGAGGCCAGTCCGGCGCTGGAATGATGGGCTATAGCTCCGGTACCCAATGTACCCAATGTCATCCAGGCCCTGAAGGCCAGCTGCAGGTGGGCCCTGGGGCCCTGGCAGGTCCCGAGGTGGGCAAGCAGAGGTGCGGACAGATGGACGCTGGGAAGCCCAGCCACAGCGTTCAAAGCGGGGAGACACTAGTGCCCCTGGCCCCAGTGCCTCAGCTGAGCGAGTCACCCGGCTCAGGTAGTCGTCTGAGCGAGCTCGGTGCCAGCCCTCCCAGCCCAGCTGACTCAAGGCATCCTGGGAAGTGGAGCAGGGCCATGGGCGGTGGGCAGTCACATCCTCCAAGCGGTCCTGGGAGGCACTGCGGGCCCGGGGAGGCATAGCTGGGCACCGTCTCTCCCCCGCCCTGCGGGGGACTTGGTTTGACAGCCAGTGTGACAAGGCCTGCTGGCACTCCAGTCTGCTGGGGGGCACCCGGCTGCCAGGCTCCGGGAAGGCACGGGGCATCCGGGGCTCTGAGGGAAGGTGGGGGAAGGCACCAGGGCTGGGGCGGGGCTGGCTCATCCCCAAGGAAGAGTTGTCCAGGTGGGCACGGGTAGCAGATGGGACACGGGGCCCCGGGTCACTCCAGGCAGTAGGACTCCGGGGGTCGCTAGGCAGTGCTGAGACAGGCTCAGGCACCATAGTGGCCCAAGTGGAGACCCGGGCTGGCGGGGCATAGGTCTTTCGGGGATAGCAGATTGGGGGTGGCTCTGGAATGCTGCGGACCTCTCCAGAATATGGCTCGTTCCCCTTCAGGTAGGCATCCTGGGAGTAGGCCTGTCCAGAGACACAAGAGGCAGGTGAGCAGGCCAGACAGATCCCATAGGGCAGGGCTGAAGCAGCCCTGGGAGGACAGGGACCCCAGAAGGGGCCTAAAGGAAGAGGACCAAGCCGTAGGAGTCCTGAGCGGGAGGGGGTGGAAGGGCATGTCCAGGCAGAAAACAAAGAAGTGGGAGAGAGGCCTTTGAGGGAGAGAGACATGCACACACAAACTCGAGAAAAAGCAGGAATTTCACTAAGACTTATGACAAGGACTGCCCTTAGCCACAAACATTCCACCATCTGCTTTCTGAGGTTCCCCCAATCCTGGCCTCTGCCACCTCCCTGCTCCCTTCTGTCCATCACTGATGCCCACAGCCCCTTGGGCAGAGCTGGGAAACCCCAGCAGAGCCAGTCAAGGTGCCAGATGACAGAAGAAAGCCGGCTAGGGGCGTGTCCAGGGTGGGCTGTGCTAGGCTGGGTGGAAGCGTGGAGAGCCCCAGCTGTCCCTCCATCCCCCGATGGAGAGAGGGCCTGGCTCCTGAGCCACTGGGTGAAGAGGAACTTGCCAGCCTTCTGCTTCCTCAGGCCAGGATTGGAGGAGGGGCCAGACTCACTGAGGGGCCTTGGGCCACCTTCTGCCACCCGTAGGCCTGGAATTTGGCGCTGGTAGCTGAGGCTGACACTGCATTGCTGAGGAGTGACAAGGCCAGTGCCCAGGCCTAGCCAAAAAAGGAGGCAGCTCCCAGGGACAGTGGCCTTATGGCCCTGTCCCAGGCTGGCCCCTGATGAGCTGCCCAGGGGTCTCTCTCTGGCTAAAGCATCAAAGGGTGAGAGAGTGAAACCAAATCAAACACACACACACTCTACACCACAAGGAGACATAGGAAGACACACACCCAGACACACACACACATAGCAAAACACAATGAGATACACACACACACAAATAACTACACCTCCAGTCCCAGACACAAACATCATGTGACAAGGACAAGCTAAGCCACACCCCCACACACTCAGCCCCTCCAGACTGGCACACGGGCAGGGACAGCATACCTCTCCCTCCTGCCATCCTGCCGGCTCCCAGGGCTCCCTGCATCACGGCTGTGGTGGCAGCATCCCGGCCCACCCCTTCCCTCCTCCTGTCCTGCCAAGCCCCCACTGACTGCTGCAGCAGCCCTGGGCCCTGTCCCCCTCTGTCTGCCCTCCCTGCACTGACCCTCGGCCCCCACCCGCCTCTCTCTCTCTCTCTCTCTCTCTCTCTCTCCCCTGGCTGGCGGGAGGCAGAGGGAGGGAAGGATGGGTGTGGAGGGGCCTCGCAGCGTCGTTGGTGGCGTCAGCAGCTGCCGCAGCCCGATTGGCCTCCAGCCTTGGCTCCCAACCACAGGAATGCTTGGGCCCCACCCTCTTGCTGTTAGAGATGAAGGTGCCAGTTGGAGGTCCCCACATTCTGCTATCTGTGGCCACCCAAGCCTGGATGGCAGAGCTCAAGACCGCTGCCCTTCTACCCCTTGCTCCTGGTGACTAGAGAGTAGGGACGTCCTAGGTCCCACCCTGTTAGCCCCCATGGCTGGCCTTGCCTCCACTTGGGGGAGCTGTATAGGCAAGGTCTTTGAAACTTAGGGTGAGCTGCCCACCTCTCTGGACTCCCTTTCTTCCTTCCCCCTCCCCAGGAAGACTAAGGGGATAACTGAAGTCAGGGGTGGAGGTTCCCAGAGGGGCACAATGCCAAGCGTGGCACTGTGATTACAGTGATTATGAGAGCATGGCCAAGGCAGAAGCCAGAGCGGCGGCTCCCAGGGCCTTCCTGGGGAACAGTGACCTCAAGGGCAAGCAAGCCAGCATCTGGCTGCAACCCATGAAACCGGAAGTGGGCACTGGACAGAGATGCCTGCCCTGGGCTCAGGGCAGAGAGAGAGAACGTGTGAGTGTGTGTGTAAATGGGAGCACTTGCAAGTTCAAAGCATGCTTCCTTTGATGTCTGTGGAACACATTCTTTGTAGGGGGGCTGGATGCTGCATTCAAGGATGCTGAGGTGTGGGGGGAGAGTGCAGACTACACACCATGACTGTGTGAATTTGGTTCCTGTGATACTGGTGAGTGTGTAGACTGAGACGGGCTGGGGCACGCTGTGATGTTTGTGTGCGTGCGTGTTTGTATCATGGTGGTGAGAGGTTCACATATACACATCATGATACACTATTCTGTTTGTGCCACGGGGAACTGAGGCACTGGATTGTGCTGTGACATTCAGATGTGTGTGGGTGTGTGTGGTGTTGTGTATGGTGATATTTGAGGGTGAACAGTAGGGGAGTGCCTGTGTGGTGAGTGCACTGGGGTTTATCTCTCATGGCATGTGCCTGGTGCATTGTGCAGTGCTGCGGGGCTATGTCTGGCATGTTCTGCTTTACACTGAGTGGTGCATATGATAGTGGGGGGATGGGGCATGCTGAGGATTATTTGGTGCGTGTTCTGCGTGTGTATGTGTGTGTGTATGTGGACACACCTACCACAGACATGCTCATTCAGGACCAGCAGGGAGTGGGTGCAAAAACAGCCATCTCTCATAGGAGCCAAAAAGAACGTGCCAGTCTGGCAGGGCCCGCTGGGCCACCCTCCTTCCAGAAACCCTGGCAGAAATTCTGCCTGCCAAGGCCAGTGCCTCCCCTCTCCCCTAGCACAGAACAGCCCTGAATGAAGCAACAACCGGCCCCCGCCCAGGAACAAGCCTGGCATCTCAGATTGGGCAATGCTGGCCAATACCACCCCTACACTTCCTTCTCTGCCTGCCAGGGGTCCAATACAGGAATGAGGACCCACCAAAGAGTGCCCTATGCTGCCCCCCAGGGCTCAGGTGTCCTCTACTCAGACAGCAGAGTTGGGACTCACCAGCTGGAGGATGTCCTCGTCCTTGGGCATGATGGAGAGTTCCAGAGTGTCATCACTACAGAGACAGGGCAGAAGGTCAGGCCAGGCTGGGGCAATGGGGTTCTCCCTGAGGAGAACAGGGCAGCCCCAGGGCTAGGGGAATGGGGTATGCAGGGGCAGGTGGGCTGGAAGCTCTTCTAGGAGGAGCAGGACAGGGGGTGCTCACCTGTTCTGAATCAGAGCTATGACCTGAGAGTAGGTCTTCCCGATGACGCTCTCCCCGTTCACCTTCACCAGCCGGTCTCCTAGGGACATGGGGCAGGGCCATATGTGAGAAGGCCAAGGGGAGAACTCCCGAACCACATATGGATGACAGTGGGAGGACAAGAGCCTCCCAACACACGGATCCAAGAAACCTATTCTTTCTTTTTTTTTTTTTTGAGACAGAGTCTCAAGCTGTCCCCCTGGGTAGAGTGCCATGGCTTCACTGCTCACAGCAATCTCCAACTCCTGGGCTCAAGAGAGTCTCCTGTCTCAGCCTCCCAAGTAGCTGGGACCACAGGCACCCGCCACAGCGCCCGGATATTTTTTGGTTGCAGCCATTATTGTTGTTTGGTGGGCCCGGGCTGGATTCGAACCCGCCACCTTAGGTGTATGTGGCTGGCGCCTTAGCTGCTTGAGCCACAGGTGCCGAGCCCAAAAAACCTATTCTAACCAGAAGATAGGGAAGTGAGCCCCAGAAGGTTCAGAGAGCCAGGCAACTGGGACAGCTCACCTGTGCGAAGCCCTGCCCTGTGGGCAGGGCCAGCATCCTTCACATTCTTCACAAAGATGGTGTCCATGGGCTCCAGGCGGGGCCGGGGGGAGGGTCCTGGTGGGCATCAGCCAGGTTAGCTGGGGGGGCTGCAGAAGGCCACACCCATGCACAGCTACATTCAGGGGGCACACACTCAGGGAAGGGTCACACTCACCTGGACACAAACATACACAGGCCCACATATCCACAGGGACACTGTGAACAGACCCACAGGTACATGGAACCAGACAAGAGGATATATACATGGGAGAATGAAAACCTACGAGGACACACAAAGAGTTGCTCTGGAAATGCCTACTGTATCCTGTCACATGCTGGAAACCAGACTACAGTGGATGAGTTAATACTGTTCTTGCCCTATGGGAGCTCACTGTACAGTGAGGGAAACAGATACACACACAGACATGGACACACAAGCCATAAGACAGAGGAAAGGGTGCCATTAAAGAGGCCTGTATCAAGTCCTGGATGTACATGGCAAGGAGAGATGCCCCCCGTAAATGTCCAGACCCAGAGCCCCAGTGAGACACCCAACACTCATATCTCCCACCCACTCCTTTCCCCAGGGTCAGGGGGCTTTAAGCAGAGGCCAGAGGACCCAAGGATGGGCTCAAATTGTGTTACACCCCAGTTATATTGCCCTGCTACTAACTGTTCATCAGAGAACTGAGCCTGTTCTAGGTCAGCAGGCTCTTCCCTCTACTTCCTGAGGCCTCCAAGTGGGGACTCAGGAAGACATGTCCTCATGGCTGCCCAGCAGAAGCCCACTGGCAGAGCAGGAAGGGTGCCTATTTAAGGAACTCTACTTTGAATGCACCAGAAGCCTTGGTACCAGCATGGAGCCCTTTCAGACAGCAAAGACCATAGCAAGAGGAATCAGGCTCATACCTTAGCAGAAACACCTTGAGACCCCTGACTCCCATGAGAACCCTACTGTCTCCATCCCCAAGAATAGCCTGTGGTCAATGCACCTAGCCCCAGTCCCCAGGCCCGACAGCTCCTGCCTCTGCCTTGGTGTAGCCTGGGGCAGGGGCCAGGTCACAGATAGCCATCTGCCCCACAGCACCACCCATGGTGTGCTGGACTCAGTCAACGTCTGTGAAGTGGACAGGCCCTGAGGGAGACAATGAGAAGAAGAAAGACAAGGCACAGGGCAAGAGTGAGGAGGAGATGCCCGGGGCAGCTGGACCAGGACACAGAGAAGAGCCAAGACAGGAACAGGAGTCAGGGTAGGGGACAGAGAAAAACACAGGCTGAGTGGGGGGAAGAAAAGAGAAACAGAAGCTGAAGGATGGGCCCTGGCTCCGCCCAGCCCTGCCACTCCCTCCTTACCTCCTCCTCGGCCTCCATTCTCTTCCTCCTGCAGGGAATAGAAAAGTGGGTGTGGACCCTCAGGCCAGCTCTCAGCAGCAAGTGGGGAGGCCCAGCTCCAGCCACCCCTTATCTCTTCCCAACCATGGGAGGGTTGCAAGGGGTGTGAGCTGTAGTATCACACCTCAGGCAAGGTTCCCCAGTAGCATGCACTTCCCTCTCTCACCCCTGTGAATCCCACCATCCAGTATTCCAGCCGTCTGGGAACCCCTAATCCAACAGGAAACCCATGACCCCATCCCTTGAGAGGTCCCAGCCCGCACACACTCATACACACAGGGGACCCAGGCAGACACAGATAAGCGCATGACAAGTGCACACAGCACTATCAGCTCTTACAGAATGTGAAGGGAACCCTGATTAGGGTCCTCTGGGGGAAGGGACTTTGAGACACATTTGAGGACAGCAGTGAGAAGGCATTCTGGGTGAGGGGAGTGGAGTGTGCAGACACTTGGCGGCAGGAATATGCAAGCACAGGTAGGGCTGGATCAGCTGAGTTAAAGGAGGTCAGTACCAGCAAGTGACAGTCAGACTGAACAGACAGGTTTGAAAAGGTGAGAAAGAGGGAGCCCTTAAAAGTTCTTTTATGGGAGAGAGTGTATTTGAAAATATCTCTTAGGGGAGCAGACTCTGGCAACTAGGTTCAGGGGTTGAGAAGACCCACCAGGAGGCCTGTGGGTCAAGATGCTGACTAAGGGGAAGGACACTGGAATTGGGGAGGAGCTAGCAATGAGGGAGAGGAGAAGGTCAGAGAGACTGGATGAGCCAGAAGGAGTTGGCATGTGAGGGATGGATCAGACCTTCAGGTGATCTTGTCTGACCTTCTCCCCAGATATACCCATTTTACAGATCACAGGGCATCACATGTCCAAGGCCACTCAGTGGCAGAGCCAGGGCAGGAACCTAGGACTCTTTGGCACCCCAGTGAGGATAGAGTGGGCTGCAGCAAGGCTGCCAGGCAGTGCTGGGGAGCCGGCCTTCTGCCCCTGCCCTCCCCAGGGGGTCCACTCCACTGATGTGAGCTGACAGAACAGCAAGCGGGTGGCAGACACAGATAGATGCATTTGGACGACTGAGCTCCCTGCAGGCTCCCAGGCAGGCAGCAGGAGGAGGGAAGAACTCAGCCTCCTCCAGCCTTCAGGCCAAGGGCCCCCCTAGCCCTGGGCAGGTTTTGGAAAAGAGATAAAGAGATGGAACCTGTCCCTGGTTTGCTCTCCTCCAGAGTTTTCCAGCCCCACCCCCATGGTAGCAAGGGCTCCCCACCCAGCCTAGACCACTGCACACTGCTTCTGCCTTTTTTATCCCTCAATAGGGTCCCCTAAGAATAGGTGGCAAACAACAAAGGAGTGACATTCTAGGGAAAGAGGGAAGGACTGGGGGTTCTAGAGAACTAAGGCATCAAGGGGTGGGGCACTGCCCCCTCCCACGCACCACCAGCCCCCACTTACATTCTTAAGCACAGCTGCAGCCAGTGAGAATAGTTACGCAGGCACCCTCAGGTTCAGACAAGCATGTGAGCTGCACAGTTACATGTACACACAATGGGTATTTACAGAGACTATATGCACACACAGAGGTATACACATGCACGTCCATGCCCAGCATACAGTGCACGACATGTGCACACGGAGACATGCAGGCAGACAGACAATAAAATCCGATGTCTGTTTCTATGGCAGGTGACCAAGGTCCCCAAGGGAGAACCCCCAACAGCTGTTCAGGCTGATCCCAGCCCTAGGGAAAGGGAGAAGAGCCCATTGACTCCAAAATAAATGTCTCCTCCCCTGCTGCTGCTGGAAGAGAGGTGGGGGATGGGGAGCAAGGCCCTGGTAGGAAGCCCTGGCTGCTGCATGGGGCCCTCCCCACCAACCCACAACTTTAGGCTGGGCTCAGGACCCCTGGTTCCTGGACTCAAAACCCTGAAAATTATATTAGGGCCAGAAAGGCTCTTTGAGATCAAGTCAATAAATGGCCTCAAGTTACAGCAGGAGAAATGGAGCCCAGAGAGGGGTGAGGTGGCCCCAAATCCATAGTGAGTTAGGAGTTGTCCCAGGACTAGAACCCCAGGCTCTGAGTCCCAGCCCAGGGCTCTTTCCAGCACGCAGAGATGTGACCAGCATGGACTGGGGGCATTCTGGGAAGGGTCCCAGAGATGTGTCAGGTTCCCTGAGAGCTCAGGGAAGGGAGGAGACAGCAGACCAAGCTCAGAAACAGCCAGTGGGCCTCTCCAGGCCACAGTAGGAGGGAGTCAAACTGGCCCCCAGGAAGGTCTGCTTCTCTGAAAAGGTCAAAAAAGCTCGGTGGAGACCAGCGAGAAAGAACATGCCAGGTCAGCGGCAAGATGGGCATACCTTCAGGCTGCAGTGCACGGCCGACTCAGGTGGGTACACAATGAAGTGGCGCAGAGTGAAGCCAAAGCCATCCTGGAGACTTTTGTGCAGCAGTAGTGTCCTTGGCCCCTGCCAGGGGAGAGTACGCCTAGGAGAGCACCCATCTCTCGGGCCCAGTGGCAGCTGTGAAAGACAGGGAGACAGAGCTGAATGCCCATGTGGCCAGCACCCCCAGCTCTGCCTACTGCCTCCTGCAGCCCAGAGGGACCAAGGGGCACTGGAAATGACCCACTGCCCTAGGGGGGCCAGGCTCCCTCCCTGCCCTTAACCTCCTCCTCACCCCCTCCTGCCTCTCCCACCCTCTGCAGCCCAACAGCTTCCTCCTGCTGTCTTTTCCTCTCAGTCCATTCACAATGTCTTTGCCTCCTGGGCAGGAAGTTTCTTCAGTTTGGTTCAATTCAGTTCAGCAAACGCCTACCGAGCACCTACTATGTTTTGGACATGGAACACACAGCTCTCCTGCCTGGGAAGTGCCTGCTGCTGCCTTAGTTCATGTACAATCTCACATACACAGATGTGGGCAAACAGACACAGACATGCACACCCTCGCACAGACACATACGCACACACTTACACATACATACAAACACAGATGTACACACAAATGAGTACACATGTACACACTTACACAGATACACAATATGCACACACACGCAATCACAGAATCTCACACACAGGGCACATACAGATAGATGCACACACATCACAGATGCACAGACACACACCTGCACAGACAAGATCGGCATACACACATCCCTCAGAGCACAGAGGGGACCAAGAGCTGTGAGGGAGTAGACTGGACATCAAACAACTTAAGGGACTTCCTGTCCTGCTGAGCTCAGCCCAGAGGCCTGGCTGGTTCCCAGAAAGGCCAGGTATGAGGAGACACTCTGCCCTCTGTCAGACCTGCAGGAACACTTGGGATTAGGCACAATGACATGGCAGAGGGTGTCTAAAGATAAAGAGAGTGTCTAAAGGGTTTGGAGGGTAAGAAAGCCAAAAGGGCAATGCCTAAGGAGGGCTCTGTTCAGGTCCCCTTCTTGAACACAGAAATGGCAAAGTGAGTGGCAGTGAGGGGAGGGGGTGGTCAAACAGATCACACCCAGAGAGGCCAGCTGGAGAAGATGGGAGCTGTGAGGAAGGGAAAGCAGAGAGGCCTCCTCTGGGAGTCTTTAACCCCTAGTTTCAGGTTCTGCTGCCCTTCATCCAAACCTCTTACAGGGCAAGAAACCCCAACCCCAACCCTCAACAGTCCTTAGCCCCCTCACTACTCTGTGGCATCAGGCAGGAGCCATCAGCCAGGGGAGAAAGGCAGGGGCTGGGTGCAGAGGGAAGAGGCCCACCAGTGCCTGGGTGGGGCACCCACGTCACTATTAAGATCTTTTGTCTTCTAATAGCTGGAGAAGCTAAGAAACATGGGCCCCTCAAAGGCACTGATGCTAAGACGTTCATTCATGTATCTGCCCACCCTCCTATTCACACGTGCAGGGGCAGGAGAGCAGGCACATGTGCCCAGCCCCCTGCGAGGGGTTTCTGCACAGAGTAGGAGCCTGGGCTACAACGAGTGGGCCTGGAGAAGCGAATATATCCTCAAATCTCAGACAATTAAATAAAAAATGTGACAGAAGCAATAGGCCTACCCCATACAGCCCAGAAGATAGGCGGTCAAATATATGATAAAACTCCAGGCGAGGGAGACGGTTCTAATCCTAGACAGCCTGGAAAACTATCTGGAAAACTATCTAAACCTCCTGTAGGCGCTCCCACCTCTGGAAAGGGCCAAGGAAAACTGGATGACCCTCATTCAGGAGGCCTAGGAAGGGATTCTGGCATCAGTGGTAAGTCCAGTGACATCCCCTCAGCTCCTTCCACTTGTAGTTCCAGCTCTGCCTCCCCCACTGAACCCACACCCCATGGGGGCCTAGGGAGCCTAGAAGAGAGAATTCTCTGGGAATTCTGCTGAGGCCTGAAATCCCCTGGATTTCCTATCTCTGCTGACCTGGCAAGGAACTGATCAGGGAGCAGAGAGGGTCTGGTGGACCCCCCAGTGCTCTCTCCTGCCAGAAGCCCCTGCTTCTCTCCAGTGTGGGCTCCCCCCTCCCCCGCACGTCCCCCACCTGGGCTCAGAGCTGAGGCTGTCTGCAGGCCCATTGTTTTGCTGGTGTCCTGGATTAAGGTTTAAGCCACCAGCTGCCCCAGTGATGAGAAGTGGCTGGGACAGGTCCCCGCACGCCCCCTACCCCTCCCCCAGCACACATCCTGCCTGGAGCTACCAGCTGCCAGGGGTGCTGCTCCCTGGGGGTGGGGGTGGGGCCTGCATATAATCCAGGGCAGGAGGCACACAGCCTTCCTCTCACAGGTCCCCTCTTCACCCAAGCACAACTGGGGCCCCTTTCCTTATCTCTGCCTCTCCCTTTCCTCTATTCCTTCCTTCCAGTCCCCTCCACCCACCCCTTCCAACCAGGCTCCTAAGAATGTCAGTAATCCCCCTGCCACAGCTACCACACCCCTGCTTGAAAAGGAGACACCACAGCCAAAGCTGACATCTCCCTTGTGGGAAGTTTTTCCTTAGGTTTAACCTCAATCCTTCATGTTATTATACATACATATTTCCTCTCTTCTCCTTTGACCTGGGACAACACTGGGTCTTTCTTTCCCTTTGAGGTGAAAGGAGGTGATAGGCGCAGAAAGAGAGAAGGGGTCAGCAATGACTAGAAAGGTGATTAGATTGAGGAAGATACAACTCACATGTACCCCCAACTCTGTCTCCTTGACACAGACACAGAGACAAGGGGATGCAGAGGGAGCCACTCAGGGGGCACAGGGACATTACTGATTAAACTCTCCTGGACTCGATCTATGTCCAAACACACCCTCATGTCAGGAAAGAAAGATACATCCAGAAATACCACCTAATGCTAGAAGGAGGACAGACAATCCCAGGCCACAAATTAGGCAGATGTGGACACGTGGTGGGTTGGCAACACCAGAAACTAGAATCCAAGAGTCCTGCTCCTCCCCCCAGGGAGCATAAAGAGGTCACTGCAGAGAGCACAGTGTTTAGGCTGGGCATGATGCCCACTGTGACTCACGCCCTACCAGCCTGGTCGATCCCGGACATCAGAAAGACTGCACCCTACCCCCAGCCCTGTGGGTCCTCACCCTGAGATCACTCACTCCCTGTAGGGGTCAATTCTGTCGCCTCAGCCTCCTCCACCCACTAGGATGCCCTTCTGTGCCCCTGTGTCCTGACCCCCTATCAGGAAGAGGGTGGGATAATGCCCACTGCTCCATTCAGTGGCACTCCTGCCTAGCTCTGACTCAAGGTCCTTACCAGCCCAAACTCTCTAGGATTCCTAGATGTCCTAGCATCTCCTCACACAATCTAGCCCCTTCCATCTTACCACTGCCTGTAAACTAAGAGGGCTGAGCCCACTGCAGGCCACAACCCAGACTGGGGTTGTCATCCCAGAAGCTCTGAAAAACCTCCCAAGCCACAAATACTGCCACCCATCCCTCAACCTCCTCACTCTCCACTCCAAGGGCTTTGGTCCTGGAATGCTGGGCGCACACAGCTCAAAGGTCCGCAGGGAGGTGGTGGCCCGTCCCACCCACCCAGCCCTCAACAAGCCTGTCCTGGTGGGGGCCCCAGTCCCTGGCCCCGCCAGCCCCGCGGCGCTCACCCTGGCCCGGCACGGCCCGGGCGCGCGGCGGTCGCTGTGGCTGAGGCAGGGAAGCCAGAGGCAGCGAGGCTCCGGAGCGCTGCAGTCCACGCCGACGGCGCGCTCCCAGCGCCAGCCCCCGGCCCCCGCGCGCTCCACGCGCCACACAGCGCTGCCCACGAGTGCCGCAGCCGGCGGGGGACCCCGGACCCGGCTGCCACCCCGGCCCCAGCGCGCCCCAGGCCGGGCTTCGGGAACGGGGCACGCCTCACGGGGTCCCGGGGCCGTCGCTTGGCGCCCAGCCGGGGACGTCCTCCGTCCCCGGGGCGGCAGATGGGCCCCAGGGGTCCCCGCCCGCCCCCCGGAGCCACGGGCGCGCGGCCCAGGAGCCCCGAGGGGACGGACGGCCCGCGCAGATGGCGGCAGGACGGCTGGAAGAACTCAGCGCCTCCAGTGCCTCCCGCGCCTCCCCGGCCGAAGGCGCCTGAGCCTCGAGCCCCACTCTCTGGTGAGTGGCGCAGGGCAGACGCCTCCCCCTCCGGGGCGGCCCCTGTGCGCTGCCGCCCAGATCCCACAGTTACACACACCCCTACACACCAAAGGCGTGGCATAGTCCCTGGCACAGCCACACCCTCACAACCCGCACAGGACACACACACAGACTTGTGACACACCACATACACAAACACACACGGTACCCGGGTTGTGCCCCTTTCCAGGACGCAAGCACATGCATGTCAGCTGCCTACATGCCAGAGAAACACACATTCACACGTGGACTCCCTCATATAACCACACACTCTACATACTCTGTGCAGAGCCACACCACACACACATTCACACATCCGACACCCACCTCACCCACACAGTCCACATACCCACCCACAGAAACAGTATTCCCCCCTTCACACACACACACATCGTGATACCCATCCATATCTGACACCTTGGACACCATACCATGCATACACAGTCTACACACAACATGCAAAGACACATTCACAAGCATAGCATATGCACTATGCCCCTGAAAGCACCCACATACACACCCACACTCCCACCCACACTCCACACATACCCGACAGAGACACCACAAAGCCCTTGCAAGCAGACAGATGACACATACTACACTCCACGCATTGATGCCACGCCCCCTTAGGCCTCACACACACTGTCACAACTCCCTGCAAAATCATACATCTTTATGCTATAGTGGACCCCAGCCCCCTGGGACAAGTGTGACCACCTTCTCCTTCAGGACCCCCTTGCCCATTAGTTCTACCTAGAGAGGGCACCATCAAGCTAACAATGGACTCCAAGCTGGCCCCATCCCACCCCTAGCATGTGAGTCAGACAGGAACCCTGCATTGGTGGCAGATCCTGCACCCTCCTTTCCTGGCTTTCCTTCCCAGGCCCTTTCCCAAGTAGGGCTGGCAGAGGTCTTGGCTAGTGTGTGGTCAC